GGGAAAAGGGCGGCCTATAAATAAACTCAACTGAACTGAACTGAACTGAACTGGTATTTACCGGTTCTCCGAACTACTCAAAATCTCCACTACCGGTTCTCCAGAACTGGTCAGAACTTGCTGAATACCACCTCTGATTCTAGCCATCTACACTTGATTTTTGAACTAATAGCCTCACAGCTTATTGTTTAGTATTATTGTAATGAATGTGGATCTTAATAATTTTGTTTCATTGGTTTTATAACAATTAGAAGTCAATTGGATATAGAAAGGTGGAATAGAAATATTTAAATAGTTCATGATACAGCTTAATAGATAACTCTAAATATGTTTCATAAAACCCCTCTTTTATCTTTTTCTTCCTTTGTTTCAGTGTGATGGAGCAGTTTTGGATCTGACTAGCACTTCATTGGAAGGAATTGCAGTCCTTAACATTCCCAGCATGTATGGTGGCTCCAATCTCTGGGGGGAAACCAAGAAACAGTGCAGCTATAACCGCATGAGCAAGAAAATACCTGAAAAGTTGCAATCCTCAGTGGTTACTGATGCCAAGGAGCTCAAGTTTTGTGTCCAAGGTGAGGTGGCTTAGAATTTTGAATGTGGTAAAAGTGTAGCACATAGGAAGTTGCAGATATTTAGGAGACATCCCTATAAATCTATAGTGGCTACATAAAAAGAGTATACCCTGCATTCAATGCCTGACAAGTTGGAAGAACCAAACAATAAGGCTTCTTAGGGGCGTGTAGTTTAATGAAAAATAACAACCTATTTTATCTGTGAAAATAAGGACCAAAAACCAGGATTCATGTGCCAATAGTCATTGAAGAATTGGAAAAAAAAACCCATTCCAAATGATTGTTTAGTACCAGAACATGCTCAAATTAAAGCATATCTCAGATATGGCTTAGCTTTCATTTGAACATACTGGATGAAGAGGAATCCAATTTTCTGGATAACTGGCTGAACTGTGAAGATCCCCCCACTAAACATTCAGTCTGGAATCTCTTTTCATGATTGCAGCCAATGTCCTTTGGAGTAGTAGAAAACAGAACCTGATCTTCTTCTATCTAGCATCTACCAGTTTTTTTAAGGTTAAACATTCCCAATTCCTTCAATCTTTCTTAAATCTCTGCCCCTCCTTGGAGATCTTTTTTGGGTTTGTTGTAGTTTAATTAAATCTTTCCTAAAGTACAATATCTAGAACTGGCTACATTACTTGAGATGGGATATAACCAAAAGAAATTAAGTGATTTCCTATGGTTTGGAAACAATACTTCTGCTGAAGCAGCATAAAATTGCATTTGGCTTTTTTGAAAGCAACATCACACTGCTGACTCATATTCAATTTGTGATCGGCTACAGTTCCAAAATCTTTTTCACAAATGCTTTTGCCAAGTCAGGTACACATGTGCAGCTGATTGCTTGCTAAGTGAAAAATCCTGCATGTGTTCCTGTTAAATTTCATTCTGTTATTTTAGGCACAGTTTTTTAACATAAAAATAATTGTTGAGGTTATTTATACAATCTTTACAGTATGAGCTATCCCGCCTGACACTGTAATATTTGCAGATTTAATAAATATTCTATCCAAGCTCATGGGGTGACTTTGGACCTCAGCCCAAACTACCACCAGGCTGTTTTGTGTGAAATTATAAGAGCAGAAAGTGTGGTAAATGTTGTCTCGAATGCCTAAATTAAAGGTAGGATAGAATCAAATAGCAACGGCACTTAGATTTATATACCGCTTCACAGTGTTGTCTTTGAAAATATTGGGTATATGTTCAAGTTCATATCTTGGAAATCTGTTGGCTTTGGCCTGCTTTAGCTTGATTGTGAGCAGCTCACAATCTATTCTATATTCTCTTTCACCTTGTTGTACCAATAATATAGTGAAACTGATTTATGAGTGCCCCATCTGGCAATGCCCATATATGTAGGTATGTTTTGAAATTTTAAAAATATCTTAGCATTGAAGGAATTACTGAATCAGAAGAAAGTGATAAATCATTCTCCTGTTTTATTTCTGTTTCTTATGCCAGTCAGTCCAACTTTGTTTTCCTCCTTACTATTTCAAACTTTGGCATTTCAGTTTCCAACCGCAAACAGTACATCTTTCAAAAAGACAAGCTGACCATAATGACTGACTGGGAATTTGGGGAGATATGTCCCAAATCATCTAAGGGGTGTACCAAGCTGTGGGAAAGTTGGTAAAGGAATTGGGTCAGGCAGGCAAAGGCTGAAGGAATGGCATGAGACCAGGCAGGACACACCCTGACAGTTAGCCAGTTCGCCTATTGACATTCTCACACACAATTTACAAAGGGACTTAATTCCCAATTCTAAATTATCTCTAAATGCAGCCAACATTGCTAGCTTCCAGCTGTGCATGTAAGAAAGAATTCCCAGGACAAAGGGCACCTGCTTTCTCCGTAGGCAAAAGATTGTGTTGTGAGAACTCTGAGATTATCAGTACCAGTTACTTTTTAAAAAATTATTCTAATTCTGCTGAAGAAACTGCTGTGTGCTATCTTCTTTTAATTCAGTTTACTTGTCCTGATCAAAACGTTCCTTCAGGATGCTAGTTCATTGCTTATACAGGTAGTCCTCGAGTTACAAATGTAATGGGACCAACCCATTCCATTCGTAACCTGAGAATTTGTGGGAGTGAATCTCATACCTTGAACAAGATCAATCCCTCCCTTCGCCCATGCATTCGCTAATCAAATATGAGGCTCATTAAGCGCACATGAGGGACTTCAGGGTGGGGAAGGCCGGGGGGGGGTGTCTAGTGATGGAACAGGCCACCTGCCTAAGACACCTAAAGCCTCCCTAACCCATTGAAATAGCTCATGCTCCCCACAATTGCTTCCCCCCCCCATCCAACCTGCCACACTGGGTCACTTAACTTGTGAAGACCTAGCAAGCAATCTCCTCACCAGCCTCTCAGCCTCCATTTGGGCATCTGCAGGTCTTGCCTGGCAGGTTGCTGGTCAAAATGGAGCTTCCAAGGGGGCAGATCTGCCCCTCCAATGTTCTGTTTGGGCCTCCATGGCCCATTGCAGGCCGAAATGGAGCTTTCGGAGGGTGGATTTGCTGGAGAGGAGACTCCTTGCTAGATCTTCAAAAGGTAAGTGACCCGGCATGGCAGGTTGGGTGGAAGGGAAAGCAATCGTGGGGAGCATGACACCCGAACAGAGCTTCTGAGGGGAGAATCCACCTCTCAGAAGCTCCATTTCGGCCTGCAATGGGCCTGGGGAGGCCCACTGAGGCCTAAATGAAACTGCAGAGGGGTGCATGCTGCTGAGACACTGGAAAGGAGACTGCTTGCTAGATCTTCACAAGGTAAGTGACCCAGCGTGGCATCTGTGGGGGAAAAGCAATTGTGGGGACCATGAGGCCAGAACAGAGTTTCCGAGCGGTGGATCCACCCCTCAGAAGCTCCACCCCTCAGAAGCTCCACTTCAACCAAACGGGCCATCGGAGGGGCAGATCCGTCCCTCAGAAGCTCTCTTTCAGCCTGCAGTGTGCTGTGCGAGGCCTCTGGAGGGCCAAATGGGGCGTTAGAGGGGCGGATGCACCCCTCGGAAGCTCTATTTTGGCCAGCAACATTCCAGACAAACATTGCAGACCCTCTACAGTTGTTCGTAAGGGCAAACAACTGCCATGGTGCTGCAAGGTTCGTAGTTTCAGAACTCGTTCGCAAACGCTAGGGGCACTTATCACGTAACTTCGAACATTCGCTAAGGGAACACTCGTAACCCAGGGATTACTTGTATTACAAACTATTCAAGCCTTTCCAATTGAGCCTGGGTTGAAGGGAACACTACCCTTTGACTTGGGTTCATCTCTGACATTGTATATTGGTTTTTTTTGTAATCCCTCCAGACCTTCAATGTGAATGCATTGATTTCAGGATAGAGCGGGAAGATATGATATATTCCAAAGGAGTATTTTACAGGCATCAGTTATTTTCAAATTTATCATTAATGCAAGATTCATTAGAGGTTGCCTATTTAATCCTTCTCAATGCATTCCCTCCCCCAACTCCTTGCTAGCATCCAATGAGTCTAAAGCTTTACAGAAAATGGATCTTGCAAAGTAATGAAATATTAAAGGCCTTAAGCTAATCACAGAGTTGGCACAGCAGTGCCGAACTACTGGAAACAAAAGGTACACTCTCTGTCATGGAGAATCATGCATCACCTTGTGAGATTTTTCTGAAATGTTCTTCCGATGAGAGCACTTGCCTGAAAATAAGAAAATTCTAAGAATATCCTCGTGGGAGACCAGGGAGAGGATTGGAAAGAGCTTGGCAGAACAGGTGTTACTTAGGCAGAACAGAATGAGTAATTAAGAGGATGCTTTAATGCCGTTACAGGCTACAGCACAAACAGGAAAAAGAAAGCTGCTGGGGTGGTGAAACAGCACTCTCTCCAGAATATTCCCTTCTGACTAATGCATGAGACTCTCCAAGTGGAGAGGCCTGAGGTGGGATGAGTACTACAGCAAATCTGTAGGCATTTACAGCACAGTCCTCCAAAAAAAAGGCCATTGGGCATGATCTTCAATGGGAACAATGCACGGCAATTTTGAAATACCTTCTCACTAATGGCTGCCTCAGTTGCAATGGGTAGCTTTCTAAGGACTACAGCTTCAAAGCAATAAGCAGGAAGTTGCCAATATCTGATCTGTGGGCCATATCTACCCCACCCCCACTCTGCAAGGTTCCCAGCCTGCAATTGTTCCTCTTCACTAGTTTTCTTGTGGAATGAGACAAACGGGTTCATGCATAGCAGCAATGTCAGTTTACAGATTACCTTTATAACACATGCCCCGATGATAATGGCTAACCAGCTTGAAAACTAATAATCAGGTAAGTCAGGACAAGGTTTATAGGGAGGAGCAGTTTCTTCATACTATCAATTATTACTTTTTGTAGTGGCTACTTCTGTAGGACAACACAAATAGGGATTATTTAAAAACTAATCTCGAATCAGGTGGAGGATTTAACAGTACAATTTTACATGAGCCATCAATAACCTAATCCTCAGAACAACACATCTTGTTGTTCCCCAAATAAGCATGTTACAGCAGGGCTTTATAGAATTTTACATACAAATAGATCTGAATCATAGATCTATTTTGTTTCTTTTGGGAAAGGAAAACAATTGTATAGGAAATACACTCCAGATTCAGATTCATCCTTGGCATAAAGCCACCCCACAAATCATTTTTAGAGGATGTGTCTTTAGGATGCAGCTTTTGATTATCTTCAGTCTACCCATAGAGACACACTAAGTTGTTCCTTAGCTGTTCCAGTTTTAAAGTAGTAGTGTTTTCTACCTTTTCCCAACACATCCGGACTTAAGAAGAATCTGCAATGGCTTATTTACAAATCTGGTGGTGATGCTGTCAGAAGCTGGCATCTTCAGAGTCCCTATTGTTTAATTAGGGTTGCCACAAGCTTATGTCTTTATCTCTGGTCAAGGCACTACCCTCCCAGCCATCTTGCTTTCAGCTGCAGGAATCCCTGCTTTCGGTAGAAGCATCTGCTTGTGTAATACCTAACTCACATTTCACAAAACATAGCATGGCTTCCTTATGTATGCTGATATATATCAGCCATTTTGTAGATCACTAAGATCTATCCTACTATTGAATATTTGTTCAAAAGTTTTACAAAGATCAGTAAGCCTGCCCATGAATAAAAATGGGATCTGCTAATTGTTTAAACGGGGCGGGGGGGGAGATATATATTGCTGATTCTACTGGAGTTTGCTAAAGCTTTCTGCTGCTTCTGCTGACAAGGATTTAGCATGGCTGTGCTTTCTGCTGCTTCTATTATTTTGTGAGCAAGCAACATTATTGTCTTGCTCTGGTGCCATTTTACATATTCCATTGGATGATCTGGATGCTGCTATGTCCATTCATTTTTCCCCATAGGTCTTACCAAGCTGGAGGGAAATTGATAAGAGTTGTGCTAGTTTCCCCTTCTATCCCAAGTGACAGGAAGGTGGTAAATCTCTCTATAAGCTTACCAGACTTCTAGAAGACTGGCAAGCTTTCGTCCAAAAATAACCCAGTTGACAAGTTAAGGATGGGCCAGGATGAGGCAGAAGGGCATTGCCTTAGTATGCTGTGTAAGCTCCTTCCTCCTGACCTGTGTTCTGAAATAGCTCAAGTCATCTATCACTCAAACAACGTGAATATAGCTAAAGCCTCTGCCCAACCTGCTCCGTTACACTTTCGGGAGAATGATTGGCAACTGTTTTTCTGACTATCTACTGATGCCGGGAGGTGGTGGAAATAACACCAAATAACTCTACTAAATCTTGACTTTAATTTGTCTCTTGTTGATGTAAATTAGAGTTCAGCCATCATGGCAACACATATTATGGTGTCTTGTTTCTCCAATAACTCAGGAACTGGAGGAATACACACAAATGTGGAAGGGAGCAATCTTTAAAGATTAGGTCTTTGTCTCAGAGATGGAATCTATTGTTCCAAATATCTTCCCAGAATAGAAGAAAAAGTAATTTGATGCCATTCATATTTAGTTTTGAAATCTTGCAGGCAAGACCTCATTTGGGGAAATTAAACATGCTGGTTTGGGGTGCTGCAGAAGAAATGACTCCAACTTTAACATTGCAGGCATAGGCCAATTAGCTATTTTTCAAAAGACAAATTTGCTTTGTTCTCACATTAGTTTCTCCTTGTTTCTCGTTCATTTTTAATCCATGCTACACTTTTCCTCTTTCACAGCAAAGGCAACCAAACAGAAACCATGCCTGTGCACAGGAAGGTTTGCCAAATAAAGGATTCAAGGAGATGAAGCAAGCCTATTTATCCTTGGCTGCATCATCATTCCAAGTGCTGAAACAAGTTTAATCCTTGACCCAAATAGTGCCTTTTTAAGGGAAGACATTTGTGTTCAAAACCACAAATTGGTAACATCTGTGCATTTGGTAATACTCTTGGATGACACAAGCACCAAGTGCACAAATCTTTCTGAAAATGAGTAGAATCTGCACAAAAAGTGCTGCCAAGTGCAAACGCATTGCCCCTGTTTCTTTGCTTCTGAAGCATTGTCAATGTTACTGTGCTTCCTTCATAATGTGATTCTTTTCACAATAAAGACATTTTAATGAAATGAAATGAAATATTTGGAACATGCTCACTTGAACATCAAAAGCACCCATGGGCAATGTGCAGGCGATCACTGGATCACAAGTCGTGGGGCTGCTTGTAAGTTAGCCTTGTAGGGGAAAAAATTGAACTGAGAGCTGTAGCCAACTCATTTAAAAGCAAAATGTGGAGAAGGGTCATAGTAATTTAGCTCTAGCAAAAAAAAAATGCTCCTGAGTTAGCCAAAACTTGCATTATAAGGTGAACAAATAAAACTACCTTTTATGTATTCAAATTATTGACATGTTTATCATGCTGCTTATTATTTTTTTCCAGGAAACTCAGAACAGTATTTAAGTAGGTACAAGAAATATCCCATCCTGTAACTGACATGTATAGCTTCTACATTCTGGTAGTAACTTTCCAAATGTAGGTGTATTTGTAGACCTGTTATCTGAATATTTTAAATATTGGGAGCTCCTGCCAATAAAAGATGAGGTGACAAAGAACTGCTGCAAACATCCCCTTCAAACTCTTGTTTCCAGTCCTTTCAGGAGAGGAGATTCATTTGGAAATGAAGAACTGTTTGACTGAAATATGCACAGAGAGACAGTCAAGCAAATGACATTTTGCCCAATCTGGTGGGGTTAAATGCCCATTTTCCCAAAATGCGGGCTGATGCAGTAATGTTTAGAGACTTGGCCAAGAAACAGAAGTAGATGTGAGCCCTCAAGCTAAATCACAACATTTTCTCCACCAATTACAAGAATGTTCCTATTTCAGAAGGTACACTGGTGTAAAAACACAACAGTCCAGATGTACACAACAGATGGGCAAAACTTGCATACAAAATATCATCTCCTTTAGTCTTTCTGACACCTACTGGTACCATCTCCAATGATTAGATAGAATGATAGAAAATAGATGATAGATAGATAGATAGATAGATAGATAGATAGATAGATAGATAGATAGATAGATAGATAGATAGATAGATAGATAGATAGATAATATCAACTTTTCATTAAAACAATTTTAATTTAAAACATGATCAAAGAGTCTTAGAACCTTGTAAATGGGTACCCTGATGTTCATAGCCACTACATGAAGAACAGCAATATAAGCAATCTTCAGCTTGCATTAAATATAAGGGACACAAGTTTTTCTTTGTTTAATAATTATCTATCTATCTTTCATTAGGTCTTAGTGATCAGCTCTTGGAAGTAGTTGGTCTTGAAGGGGCAATGGAAATGGGACAGATCTATACTGGACTGAAAAGTGCTGGAAAGAGATTGGCCCAGTGTTCCGCTGTTGCCATCAGGTACCTACTTTGAGACTTTGGTTCTAATATGAATTTTTCACCAATTTGGAAGATATTCTAGTAACAGACAAGAAAGAATCAGGCACCTCCTGATATCCCTTTCTTCTGTGTGCTAATATTCTAATAGCTTGCTCTAAAGACCAAATGTGTATTTTATGTGATCTGCTATGATCTGAAAAACTTATCAGGTCTATAAAATAAAGCTGGTTGGAAGCATAAGGAAAAGGACTTCATCCCAAAGTGGATAAACAATGGCTAGAATGATGATTACAATGGAGCACTTTACTTAGAAGGCATTATGTTTTCCCAGAATTTCAGCATGTTCTAGAAAGAGAGAAAAGGAGGTGAGAGAATGAGATGAGGAGCCATGGAAAAATAGGGGGATTTTTGACCCATTACAAAGGAGAATAAGGTGCCTGCTCTTACATTAAGAAATAGGAAAAGGATGTAGTTTTTATAGAGCCAAACTGAATATACCTCAAGACTATATTGGACATAGAGTTGCCTCTATTTACAATTGCACCAGTGGTGGGATATGACTGGTACACCCCAGTATGGGCGTATTGGTGCCTGCTGGGAGTACCAGGTACCATTCCGGTACGGTGCTCCAGAGGGCCCAGCCACCTGCTCACCCTCCTTACCTATATTTGAGCCGATTGGGGCTTCCGCACATGAAGCATACAACACCTGCGCTACACTCCGCCAAGTAGCTGGAGCATCACGGAGCATCACAGGCAGTAAGTACGCATGTGCGCATGCTGTGCATGTGTTGCGCACATGCATGTGGTGGACGGCCGACCCTGTTGCAAGGTACCGGTTGCAACAGGATCCGGAACCCACCACTGAATTGCACATATGATAGATATGCTAAGCAAAGAATGATAAAAGTGCAGGGTTGATGCAAGTAAATTGAGTGTGCCTTCTTGTGCTCCTATGCTATTGCTTCTGTGGTTCCTAGAAATCCTTACCATGCTAACAAGAACCATGTTCATAAAACACACTGATCTACAAAATAGCCACTCAATTTTATTATAGTATTGGAACCATCCTATTAATTTATGGTTCATTTATCATTCATACACATTAGGTGATAATTCAGTGACTACAGCCAGATAACATCATCTTGCAAATTTCATTCTTTCACTCTTTTCCATTATTGGCAACTTATAGCAAGACAGAATTCAGTTTCGGCTTGTTTTCCTTCTTACAAGACTGCTTGTGTATTGCAGAACAACCAAACTGTTGCCCATGCAAGTGGATGGAGAGCCTTGGATGCAACCACCTTGCACAGTGAGTAGTTGAAACACAGAAAAGTCTGAATGGTATTAAAGGACTTCATTTATTAAAACAAGAAGCTCAGAGAAGTTTTTCTTTGAAAAGTAAACTGCAGAGGAGACCCAGGTTTTAGTAACAAAGCCTAGGAAAGAACTATTTTTAAAATAATGCTTCTATTCAAAATGGAAAAAAAAACAAAACCAGCCATAGTATCCCAGGAAAGAATTCGCTGTTTGGGGAAGATTATTCAGATCTCTTCGATGTCATATTATCAGACTTTTTCATAACCGTGACAGTCACATTTGTATCGTAAGGGAAAATAAAATAAAAGTTAAGGGGAGAGAAATCTTTGACTGTTGTTCCTCTTGGTAGTATTCTAAAGATAGCTAAAAATACAATTAGAGTACCTTCAGCCTATCCAGTGTATTCAGAACATCAAAGGAAGTGTTACATACAAGAATAATGTGTGTTGTGAGTGTGTGTATGCCCTCAAGTCAGTGTTGACTCCTGCCAACTGCCTGAACAAATCCTTTCAGTTTTCTTGGCAGGTTTCCAGATGTGGTTTGTCATTGCCTGGTTCCTAAAACTGAGGGTCACCCAACTGATTTTGGGCCTAAGAAGGAACTAGAACTCACAGTCTCCCAGTTTCTAGCCTGATGCATTAACCATTACACCAGTCTGACTCTGAGAAAAACAATGTGACATAAATTGCCCTCTCTGATATGCAAATGAGAATTATAGAACAATATCTTGTCAGAGAAGTATTCCAACTGAAAGCAACAGCTCTCTGAATTCCTGTATATACAAGTAGTCCTCACTTAATGATGGTAATTGGATCAGAATTTCCATCACTAAGCAATGTAATCAAAGTTTGACATCAACTGATCATACAGCTTAGTGATAGCAGTTCCAGCCATCTCTGGCTGCAATCATTAAGTAAGAATCTCACACAACCATGACTTCTGACTTCCTGTCAGCTTCCCCATTGACTTCTCCACAGTTCAACTTTGAGCCACATATATGTTCTTCTATATGCAGCAAAAATTCCCCTGCCCTTTGATTTCACTCGTGGGAAGATGGCAGGAGAGATGCAAACCATGGTCATGTGACTGAGGGATGCTGCAAATGTCATAATTGTGAGTTTGTTACAAAGCATCCAAATAGAATAGAATAGAATAGAATTTTATTATTTGTATGCCGCCCTTCTCCGGGAGGACTCAGAGCGGCGAACAATTCAAGGGGGGGGGGGGAAATCACAATCAAATGAAGTGCAGACACATTGCAATGACCACAACTGATGACTGGTCATATGTCCCCTTCATTGAGATCATCACAAGTGTAAATAGTCACTAAATGAACAGTTGTTAAACAAGGACTGCCTAAACACGGACATTAGTTACTACTAGCAAAAAAATAAAAATAAAGTTCTTGAAATATTTATTTTCATTCACCAGGCAGATGGGCTTTTTTGTTTCTGTGACAGAATTAGCAGCTGGCCAGTTCCAGGAGTTAACGATCCGATAATATTTCAGTCTTTTAGGCAAACATTTTCCTAAAGCCAATTGTGCCAATAATCTGAAGATATCTAGGATTTGGATTTCCGTTTCTGAATCACATGCTACTTCCCAACATTCTCATTGCTTTGAGGATCTCACCTTATGATAGTTGACTTGCCAAGCAAGATATGCTGGATGTGCCTTTCTGGAGAGCCTATTACTCACCTTGGGCTGTGGTGGAGAAGGTGACCTGTTCTGCTGCCTCCACAGCCATTCATAAGGCTTAATGGCTGAAAAGTCTCAGTGCTATCTCCAATTCAGCCTGATAAGAAACTTTTTTTAATTTGCCATAGAGAACTAAACAGACTTGCTCTGTCTTTCCCTGATGCAACAGGAGTGGGGGTGTATCTGTGAGCCAGATCTTACTTGGTACTGGTTTTGGTACTGGCCATAGAAAAAAAGGCCTTTAGATCAGGAAGAGCAGTACACCTGGCAGGTTTTAAGCCACACTTAGGTGATTGTAAGAAAAGATGGATATTCCCTTTAGCTGCAAAACAATTGCTTCATGTACTCTAGGGAAATATTGCATTGCCATTTGAAAAGAGATTATAAAAGTCCTATTACAATATTCTGGGATCATCAGATTGGGGGACTCTGCAACAAAATGATATCATATAAAAGCAAGGCTACATGCTCTAAACAGTAGAGCAGTAGATTCAGTAGATACCACTTCCTCCCTCTGCAAATAAATGACATGTGTGAAATAATTATTTTCATTTAGCTTTTCCAAACAGCTTGTCTTCTGTTAAAGCCAGTCCTTGTAGCAGCAGTAACATAAATAGACATTGACAATGGGGATTGTCAATGTCTATTTGATAAGTTAATGCTTATCTCGGTTAATAGAAAATCCTTGCCCTTTCCATAGTCCCTTGAAATAGTTTCTGTCTAGAAAGAGCAATCACCTAATCATTGTATTATGAGAACTGGTTGAAAGAGTTGGATCCTGAAGAAAATATAAGGAGAAATTTGATACCATTTTTAAACATTTGAAGAACTGAGAAACAGGTGAAGAAGCTTTCCAGATTGCAAGACAACGTAATGAGTCAAAATTAAAGGGATGCAGATTTCAGCTAAATAGGAGGAGAAACATCTAAAAATAAATGTGTGAAGTGGAATAGGCTGCCTTAGAACATAGTAGGCTTTCCTTTGCTAGAGATGTTTGAGATAAGATGGATAAGCATCTATCAGAGTTATTGTTGTTGCTTCCTGAACTGTAATTTTGTATGAAACACAGGATTTTACTATTCCAAATTATCTCCAAAGCTCTTTTCATTTCCATGATTTTGTGACTTTGGCTTCTATCCTTTTGCTTCCAGATTAAAATAACCCACAAAAGCCAAGTGCCAATGTTGTTAGGACCTCCCCAAAAGAGCAGCTTTTTCTTCCTGAGGAGAAGAAACCGAACTCGAGACTAATTTTCAATCAAGCAAAGAACAACCTTCAGAAGCAGCAGTTCTCCATTCAAGTGGCAACCACCCAGAGAAGGTCTGCAGGGAAAAAAAATCTTAATCCCTCCAGATTCCTGGCTTCTGAATCTGCTTTGGAAACATCAGTCTGGAGGCAGCATTATGAACTCTTAGTAGAAAATAACAGGGTTGACATTCGGCAGCCAAACTGAAATAGCAGTGTGGGTTCATATATCCATGTACACATAGCCACTTTCTCTACATATTATTGGCTGGGATAGCATTGACACTGAAGATTCAGAAGGATTTTTGCCCTCCATAATACCACAGCCCAAGAAGAGGAAGCTGTTACTGCTCTGGTTGGGCTGTGGTAAAATCTGAGACTCTGCTAAAGAGAGTTGCTCTGGGCAGCCTTGAATTATACAGTCCTATCAGAAAGCAAACAAGCAGACATGGAAACAGCATGTCTGACATTGCCTTCCAGATGGAATGAAGGAGAATTTTCATCTTATTTAAACTCTTTAGAAACCCCTCTCCAAAAAAAATAACCCTGTTGAAGCATCAAATTTGGCAAGGAACCAAACTTAGCTTATTTATTTTTAAGAAATTCTGTAAGCAGATAAGTGTTATTTTGTTTTACTACTGTTTGGGTCACCAAACTTGATAAGACATGCTATTTATTTTTCAAAGTTTAGAAAACACAGGGGGAGATGAAAAGGGAAAGGAAGAGAAATGTTATTTTTCTCCAACTCTAAAACAAGAAAGCTCCTTGCTAGTTCCAGGCATAATTTTTAGTTTTAAAATAAAGTGGAAATTGGTTAGCTGTTCAGCTAACCTGCAGTTAGCTTTCAGAGGCACAGGAATACACAAAAAGTTTGCCACAAAGAAGCCAAATTCATCAGAGGAAAAATGAAGAGTAAAAGTGAGAACTTCCTTTGGAAGGAAAAGGAAAACTCAGGTTATATTAAATGTATGAGTATGTTGATAACCTCCACGAATTTAGGGATACCTTCAGGTTTGATACCAATTCCATTGTCCAGTTAATGTTTTTAAATTTTCTTTTCACATATAGGTTTAACATAACTTCACTCCAGAAATATTTTATACACATATTTTAAAGCTTTTCTATGGAAATTTCAGTTAAGATGGGATTCCTTTTAAATTTTATCTCAGTATGGGGCTGATTTAAGTAATTGAAAATACTAGATGTCTACAAACGCCTGCATATATGATCAGGATTTAATGCAGAGCTGCATGCATTAAATTCTGAGGTAGGCATTTATATGCCACTGATATTATAATAAAATGTAAGCAAACTCAGAAATCAAAGTAATGAGTTAATTTTCATCCCATACATTGGCTTTTGCAACAGAAAACTACCCAACCAGCAATCCTATATACATTTTTGGAATTAAGTCCGAGGGGGCGCAATGGTTAGAGTGGGGTACTGCAGGCTACTTCAGCTGACTGCTAGCTTTAGTTCAGCAGTTCAAATCTCACCGGCTCCAGGTTGACTCAGACTTCCATTCTTTGGAGGTGGGTAAAATGAGGACCCAGATTGTTGTGGGCAATATGCTGACTCTATAAACCACTTAGTGAGGGCTGTGAAGCGGTATATAAGTCTAAGTGCTATTGCTATAAGTCCCACTGACCTCAATAGGATTTAATTTTGTATAAGCACATATTAGAGTGCAGTGCATATAATTCATAGATGCAAAAGACTAAAATGGCATATTTTAGTTAGGAAATAAATACCTCATATTCTCTAGTTCTTCTTTAACATTGTTCAATCAGATAATAGTATAACCTGACAGCTAACGTCATGTTCCTCTTTATTCGTTTTAGATTCCAATGTACATGATGTTTTCTATATAACAAAAAAGTGCCAGGTTATGAAAAACTATTTACCGTATTTTTGGAGTATAAGACGCACCTTTCCCCCGTAAAAGAGCATGGAAATGTTGGTGCGTCTTATACACCGAATACAGCCATTTTTGGCTTCCCAAAGCCTCAACCTCGCACCCCATTTTTGTGAAAATCAGGTGAAAAACAGGCCCCAGAAGCACTCTGCAGGCCTCAGCAGGGCTGGGGAAAGGCAATAGGACTTCTCTTTTTTTTCACCCTTTCCGCCCTTTTTTTGCAAAATGGCCCGGGGAGTACAAAAACTTTTTTTTCTTACTTACCTCTTAGAAATCTTGGTGTGTCTTATACACTGGTGCATCTTATAGTCTGAAATATACAGTAGATCACAATTGCCAATCTGTGTGATCACCAGATTTTTTTTCAAGAGAAGCTAAGAGATGAATATAGAGAAAGGTTTGCTTCACTTGCAACAGTACCATTCTTCAAAAAAGATAAACTGCTAACAAATGGACACACATGTTTATTATATCACCAGAAGGAAAATGTTAATCAAAGAGCCACAGTTAATGTAAGCTTCTTCTACAAGTGGTAGCTTTTCATGATTTTGAATTGGTAATTCTAGCTTAAGAACACTGACTCCTTTAAATACTTTTAAATTCAGATGAAGAAAATTATACTCACTGATTCTCATTGTTGCATGGAAGGTTTTTTTACCTTAATCCAGGACAAAGGAATGTCATCTCTGAGTTAGAAGTCTGAAAAGAGTAAATGGCACAAATCCATTTATTTACTTAACAGCTCAAATACGGAGGACATACAGTATGCTTTCTGTTAATGTAGGTTTTTCTAAATGAAGTCATTTGATTTTATTTAGAGCTGGCCTGAACTAGGAAATCTGGTGGAGACTTTGGCATCTATGACAGTATAACTGTATTTTTCATAGACATCCTGTATTTGCAGTTACGATACCTATGGTTTGGAAAGGTTGCAACTGGGATCCATTCAGATGCCTGACAGCACCATGAGGGTTGTGAAAGAAGTACAATGTAGAAGAAATAATAGATAAGATTTGTTCTTACATTTGAAAATTTGGTCTCAGGAATTTTTGAGTCCCACTTATGAAGTTTCATCTATGGGATCCATCTTAGAGAGGCACAATTCTACAGAGTATGTACTATTTATTACTGGATCAGAAAATACCTCATTGACTAGTATTCATAATTCTGCCTTCTTCTGTTCTTTTTTTCTGTAGCTCCACTTCCTTTGTCCTCTGCTTACCTGTTTGTAAGCAACTTTGCTTCCAAATATCTTCATCTCTTTTTATGTTTTGCTTGTTTTCAATTTTGGTTCTTAACCAACATGATCAAAATATCCATGACGCAAATACAACGTGTACTCTTTTCTTAAATATACTTTTCTTCTGCCGTTGATTTGCTGTTTGGTTTGGTTTAGTTTAACGAATGTATAGTAGAAAACAAATAAGGAGATTTTTTTCAGAAACTATCTCTGCCAGAAATTGCAGACTAAAGCCTTGCCAAGTAAAAAAAAAATAGCTCAGCAGGAATTTTGTGTCCCCTTGAGATTTGGTTGTAGCCAGATGTTAGTTAAGTATAATGAGAAAGCAAAAAGGATGTGGATTTTAGATATTAGACAATTCAAAGAATTACAGACAATTCTTATGATTTTACTATTGATGAAAACATAATATTGAACAAAGTGAGAGCCAGTGAAGCAGATAAATATTAACTGGTTTACTAGTGATTTCAATCTGAGGGAATTTGGGAAACCTTTATTTTATGAAGAAGGTTAGAATTATGATAGACCATATACTAATGCTATAATCAGCATTTTTATTACGGGAAAATAAGATGGCTTAAGCAAATAAGCCTGAGTTGTAAATATATCTTAAATGGTGAGATTTAAGAATGAAAAGCAAGCATATTAAGCACTCATTTCCCCCTAATCAAGGCATGCCCATTCCATGGTAAATATTCTTGAATGTCAAGGCTTTGTGATGGGTTTTTTTTGGGGGGGGGGGGCACATCCCAAGCCTCTACTAAGGCAATTAGCTGCAGTTGTTCCAGCATGGAAGTGTTTTCCTTCTTTAGATGCATGTGGACATCTAACACATGTACCAGTGTTGTGGTTGATCATGCAGCCAGGGCTAAGATTTGCTACTTTAGATTGCTCTACAGATGTTGCCTCTGCTCCAGTTCTGGGAACTGCACTCCATGGACACTTACCCTTGAGCTGCAGAAAAGACCAGACATAAGACTTCTACAGGAGCATCGGTTCATGCAATGTCTGACTGATGTTTTCCAAAGTGTATATAATGAATTCTGTACATGATTTAACACTTATAAAAGAATACTAGCCCTGCTCTTTAATGTGCTGCAGAAAAGGTTGAGTTAGACCAGAAAAGAGAGTCAGGTTCTGCCAACTGTGTTGCTGATTCTATTACCAGTTACTGCAGTGCAGATTTTCCCATGATTCTGCCAACAAAGGATGTTGTTGGATTCTTGTTTTATCATGAGAGTGGGCACTATTTTGAATACTTCACAGAGTGTTGCTGGTTTGGCTATTTGCTATCAGTAATTCCCATGCATCATTAGTAGAAGAGGAAGATCTCTCATTGCTGCATAGCCTTGTTCTGTGCTTCTCAATCAAAGTGCCATCTCACTGGGAGGGTGAAGAGAAAAAAAGATCCTTAGTGCTTTTCACAACCTCCCTTTAAGTCTGTCAGTAAATGTTTTTATGAACATCAATCAGCCTTCCTTAGAAAAAGTCCAATTGGGAGACTTCTTTCTTGCTTTATTCATGCATTTCTACTTTTTGGGGGACACAAATTAAGTCTTCTTTTGAAATATTGCTAGTGGCAGGTCCCAGCTCATCGCATCTTCATGTCAGTAGTCTATTACGATAGTTAAATAGCCTCCCAGGTAACTAAACCCTTGGGTACAGTCACTCAACCCCACCTCCCCACATATTAAAGAAGCAATTGTTGATGTTTTTCGCACTAGTGGATATTTGATGAAAGAAAAAACAAAGCCAGGAGAATCCACCAATCCCTTTTGTTAACTACTCTCACATTAGCTCTCTAAAGTAAGCACTACACCAGCCTCATCAATGAGGAAGTGTAGGGCTTGGCTGTCGGAACAACATGTTTCATGCTATAGTATTTTTATGTCACCTCAAAGATTGATGTATTAAGTCCTAGAGCACAACCAGGTGGCTACCTTAAATACTATGTTGCTTATATGATGTTATATTTAATGGACTTACTGTGGATTAATCAAAGTAAGGGGTACATCCAATTACATCCTTCCATTTGAGGTACAAATTGTACTGGCCAAACAGTTTCCTTCTCTCTTGCATCTTCTCGGATGACCTTCCAAACAAGATTTGGGGAAGCATAGTTGTCCAGAGAAGTGGGAGGAAAGGGAAGTCCTATTAAGAAAACGGATCATTTGTGTAAAATTGATTATCTGTTTCTTCTGCCAAAATGTAAATGAAAATGGTAAATAGAGATAGCTGATTTTTGTTACCAATTTCAATTACCGTAATCTTATTTTTGAATTTGTTTAATATACAGTTATATTTCTTTAATTAACCTCAAGCCCGTGGTCAAACATTGTATGATCAATTCTCTAGGTAGGTTCACTTATAGTAAACGGTGCAAGACTTAGTAACATTTTGTATTAGCTCTATAACACTCAAAAACAATTCTTAATAGAGGTGATTAATCTGTGCATTCTGCCTTCATATATAATGCACTAGTATGGTATCATGTTTTTCAACAGTAATGTAGATAAACCAAACCCACTTCCCGATCTGGTTTTATTGAAAGTAAGCTACAAGTTTGAATTTCAAACTATCTTTAGATTCAATGACAGTTCCTAAGAAGCCACAACAATCGGATTTATGCACAGCTGTAATTCACGATGTAATTTGAATTTAACAATATATTATACGAAGCCATTGTGGGCTTCACATCATGGTTTACAGTTAGTGCAATAAATAGATGTGGTTTATTCAATAAAACAAACTATCAGTGAACATAAAAATGGAACTATAACCCATCAGATATTAATGAACTACAAATTTCAGCATTTCTCAACTTCAACATGCTTTAGCAGATTTTGGATACAATGAGAAAAATCTGTCCCAATAGGTTTGTGCTGACATTGAAACATTTATTTTCAATGATAGGTTTAGTATGCTTCTATGTGTCCTTGAAAAACTGCCTGCCATTTTAAAGATGCATAAAATAGATAAAATATAATGTGTAAATCCCCTTCAAGTTTAACAAACATACTGTTTTAATGGACACTACTTTCCCCCTTATTAATCAAATAATAGTATGAGTTACTATATGCAAAATCATATTAGAAACAAAAGGATTTATAAAGTCCACTCACTCACCATCCATTTCTTGGCTAAAGTGCTGGCAAACAGATTCAATTTTAATTTAAAACTAAGCTTGAGACCTCTTCTATACTTAACCATAATGTTGTGGCTTTGTGCATTCTGTGTCCCCTACTATTTAATAATCCATAGCTAAACAAACATAGCTTAGTGATCCTGTTGAAAGGCAGCTTTAATAAAGAGAGAGAGAGATGTCATCCAAGACTACAGC